CAAAGAAGGGGCCCGGTTCTGAGAGTACTCCTTGTTATGGTACTAAAGAAGTCCTCAACGATTACACAGTGGCATTAAAGTACTATAAAACAAATGTCTGGGTTTGATAACAAACCGATTCTCTATTCCCTCAACAGCCCAGGACCTCCACATCCAGCATCTTCACCACCAAGATTGTCTGAGACCAGCCAGCCGGACAGCTGCTGCAAGAATCGTTTAGCATCCTCAAATAATTTCTGCACAAACTGTCAGGAACCATCTCAGGGAATCTCATCTGCATGCTCGTCATCCTCTTTGGGGTCTCGACCTGACTGCAGTTTGCCATCATAACCGACTTGAGTGGGCAAATGCTCACATACGATGGCGTCTGGCACTTTGGAGAGGTGTTCTCTTCATGGATGAATCCCAGTTTTCACTGTGCAGAGCAGATGACGTGTGTATGGCTTCGTGTGGGTGAGCGGTTTGTTGATGTCCTAGTTGTGGATCGAGTGGCCCATGGTGGCGGTGGGGTTATGGTATGGGCAGGCGTGTTTCACGGACAACAAACACAGGTGCATTTTATTGATGGCATTTTGAATGCATAGAGATACCATGACGAGATCCAGAGGCCCATTGTTGTGCCATTCATCCACAACCATCACCTCATGTTGCAGCATGATAATGCACGGCCCTATGTTGCAAGGATTACAATTCCTGGAAGCTGAAAACATCCCATTTCTTGCATGGCCAGCATACTCACCGGAGGAATTGGGGCAAAAACAAAAGTGTTGCGTTTATAATTTTGTTCAGTGTAAGAACACAGAAGAGGGTGGGCACATGAGGAACTTTCAGTTTAGGAGTTTGTGTGTGTCTTAGCTTAAAAGCACATTCAATAAAGTTTGCTTCAACATAGTTCTGTATATTTTGTACTGTTTTCTATTTGTGGTTGAACAACTTGTGTTATGAATAGCCATCCAACGTTGTGATGGTTCTGAGATGATCTATAGGTAACTCATCACTATTTCAATGGCTATTAAAATCACTAACACACATTTAAACTGTACATGCTAAAGAAAGAAGTTGAAAATACTGAGATGTAAAAATCTATAAAGACAAATACCTGCCAAATATCAGTGTGAACTTAATGCAGCACTGGTTGTGTGTTCTCCAGTTGATGCAAACTCTAAGTTCCATTGTTACGATGCTGCACCATTTGACAGCCCTCAAATATGCTTCTCTATTCGCCAACAAATGTTTAACCCCACATTTCAAAAAGCTACAATGAGAACATTGCTGGTGACACTTTTCTAAAAAACAAAAACAACAACACTACAGCTTATATATTTGGTTTAGATTATAATTTTCGAATTGTCCATTTTGCTTATTTCATATTATTTGTAAAGTGTGTCTGAATGTCTCTGTGGACCTTTCTCTAAGGCTAAGAACAAATGTACTGCCGAAGCATTTTAGAAAGATTTTCAATTTTTCAGAGACAGGCTTCATTTAGCCCCTTAATTACCACATCATAAAACCTAAACACGCACATATGAACTTGTTCATTTGTAGCTAAACTAACCTTTTCAACATTTCACACTTTAGTTTCGACATGATGTGATTTCAACTGTACAAAAGTAGCTCATCTCGGCCACACCTACTGACTACCAGTTATGCACAGCGTTCTAACTTTTTCAGCTGTATTCTAAAACTAACATAGCTATCCTTATTAGCTAGGCTCCTTACATGCTTGCTGATAACTTTTTTGAAGGTGGGTCTCCGACATTGACAACATTGTGTTGGATAGATTTGTGCAGTGGTGTTTAGGGAAACTAACTATTCAATTGACAGACAGGTCTGTTGTCAATGTGTTTGCGAGCAACAACTTCCTAAATATAGATTTAGGACACATACAAACACTGGTCATGATAATTAACAGCATTAAATCCATTGATTAAAAATTAAGAGATCTTGCAGCTGACCTTTGTATTCATTTTGTTTTTACTTTCACTTTTTTTGTGCTTTTAAAATACTCATTCTGCTGTCTACTGGGTAGTCTATCATTTTAGTAGTCTGAAGCTTGAAACAATTTAGGAATTTCACTAAAACTCAGCCTTTGTATTTTGTTGAAAATAACTTCAATAAAAACTCAGGCTTTATATTTTCTTACAATAACAGATTATACTAAATAAAGACACTCTGTAATTAGTTTCTTCTCATAAGTATGATTAAATTTGCTTATTTATTTTTTTCTCACAAGTTGGAGTGTGATTATCGCTCCATGCTATCTAAGAGGGAACTTGTGTCATCATGTACAAGAGAACAGTGGACTCCTGTCGTTCCACACAGTACAAGTGTGGTCCCTTTTTCTGTAATTCAAATCAATAAATAAAATGCATTTCTGTAAGTGTAGACTAAGCACATAGATATGATGACAAAATGTATTGACATTCAGTGGTTGTGAAAACTGGTCAGTTTGGTGTTTTAGGACTGAACAAGTTTAAAGCTGTAGTCAAAGTCTGATGTGAAATACTTTTTAACAATTAATTAAAACTGAATAGAAAGTATCTTACCTCTAATCATTTAATTAATAATTCAACTCTGGTTGTTTTTCTATTTTTGTTCCTTTTTTTGGAATCTACAATTCATTTTACTCTCCAGGCCTTCAGTGTAGCCCTTTATTTTGATACATGTTGATCTTAAAACACAAGACATCCACTAAACTCAGCCTTTATATTTTGTTTTAAAAGAATGTATAGAAAATAAAGAGACTATTTAGTTAGTTTATTTTGTCTCAAAAGTATGATTAAATTTGCTTATTTATTATTTTCACACAAGTTGGAGTGTGATTATCGCTCCATGCTATCTAAGAGGGAACTTGTGTCATCATCTACAAGCGAACAGTGGACTCCTGTCGTTCCACACAGTACAAGTGTGGTCCCTTTTTCTGTAATTCAAATCAATAAATGAAATGCATATCTTTAAGTGTAGACTAAGCACACAAATATAATGGGGGGAAAAAAGTATTGATGTCCAGTGCTTGTGAAATCTGGTCAGGTTAGTATTTTGCGACTGAACAAGTTAAATCTCTAGATAACAAATGTCAAATATTTTTTATTAATTCATTCATTTTTATAATGAATTAAAACCATAAAAGTATCTTTATACTGACCATTTTATTTATAATTCTACCCTGGCTGTTTTTCTATTTTTGTTCCCTTATTTAGAATCTAAAATTCTCCAGGCCTTCAGTGTAGCCCTGTATTTTAATACATGTTGATCTTAAAACACAAGACATCGACTAAAACTCAGCCTGTATATTTTGTTAGAAAAAATTAAGAAATTGTGTTTCAAGAGACAGCTTTCTTTACTGAGTAGCTTGTATAATAGCCCCTCTACAGTCTGATAGACTCCCTGGGGCTGCAAGCCATTCACTCTATAGGGGAGTGTTAAGAACGACGTGTGTGAATGAGTCGTTAAAATCTTTGCTTGATCCACTAGAGGCACTGCTGAGTATGGACTTAAACACTCACACACCTGCAGGTCCCCTCTTGACAATAGTTTAAAAAATTTACCAGATGGTTTTAGACATGATTTTAGCATGATTTAAAGCATGTCCAACAGGGGACCTAAAAATGTCCCCTGTTCACTTTTTAGTCCCCTCTTAGTGGGTGTGTAACGACGTCGAGGTCCACTGTTAGATAGGTTGGTAAGTGCACACACACACACACACACACACACACACTCACAAATCTTTCCCCCCACTACTCCTCCTTTGTCTCATCCTGTCTCTCCCCAATCCCCCTCGTAAACTTGGCTTTCTTTCTCCTGTCCTCTCTTCCCATCAGATTTCCTTTTACCTTACCATATTTTTCCCTTTCCAATTCTTTAACCTCCTGTCCTCTTACTTAAACTTTAATTATGTAGTTCTTAATCACAGTTACACACTGAATAGGCTTCACGACAGCCACAGCGGGTTAAAACAACAGCTCCTAACCTTTGAGACCTTAGAGGACACACACAGATAAAACAGCTCCTCCCTTTTCTCCTGTCCCTGCACCCCTTGCCTCTCCTCAACAATAAATGAAACAGAAAATTGTCATTGACTACAAAATATCTACAGACATAGTAATCTATGGAACTCTGCTTAGCAAAAGTCCAATATCCCATTACTATTTCATTCCCTATTGCATGTGTCTATTCGTTTCTGTCTGTGTGCGACAGCAAAATCGGGGAAAAAATGATGGCGTGATAAGTCAGTGATTGGTTGACTTGGGGGTGCAGCCTTGGCAACGGAGGTTGTTGATGTATTCTTGCGTGTTAACATTCTGTGTGTGTCACCCTGCTGTCTACCTGCCCCACTTAGATCAGCCATCTGAGTGTGTGTTTGTGTGGGAGGAAGAGAGATTATGTTTGTATGTTTCTGTCCCTGTTGTATTTGTTTATATATGTTTCACATATGGGGCTGGGTGGGTACAGTATTGTGCAGTGTAATGCAAAGAGAAAATTCCTATTCAAATGCTGGTCACAAATTACTGAATTGAAGACTGACTGAGAATAAGAAGGGAAGCCCCACAATAGGAAAAAAAAGCGTATTTGGTTAAGATAAGGAAATAAGACGAAGAGAGCAGGGTTGCACGAGTTGGATAAAAGAAATAATCCCTGGGAGGAATATAAGAAGAAATCAGACTTCTAAAGGAACAGAATAATACAATTTTGACAACAAAAACTAGGTGACAAATGCTTCTTTTAATTTCAACTCTGCAACTACAGTAGTATCTCTGATGAGAAGCTTAAAACAGCCACAACCATGCAGGGAAATTTTCCTACTGTTTTGATGTTGACCTCCTTTTTTTCGCCAAAGGAACTAACCATGCTGTTTTTTAAATTCTCCCCTCCTTTTTTACCTCTCTCCCCATGACCCCCTTCACATTTCCTATTTGTACGTCTACTCTTATCATCTCATCTCTTCTTCTTCCAAACCCAAACACCCCACGGCATCCGCCTCCCCCTGCCTCGTCTGTCAGTTTGCAAAGTGGGGTTTTACCGCTCGCTGCTTGAGTCTTTGGCCTGCAGTAAATGTCCACCCCACAGTTTGGCCAGGCAGACAGGAGCCACTGCTTGCAGCTGTGAGGATGGATACTATAAGATTGACTCCGACCCTCCCAATATGGCCTGCACACGTAAGGATATAACACCTTTATATTTGTGCTTTCTTATCTATGATTATTCTTGGAAATTTTGAAAGTCGAATGTGTAACTTTTGCTCCTCAAGATGCTGTTATATGATATTACTGGATGCATTTGTTTTACGTCCTCTAACCCCTTGCCATCTCTCTCAGATCCTCCCTCTGCTCCACGTAATGCCATCTCCAATGTCAACGAGACCAGTGTCTTCCTGGAGTGGTCCGTTCCCATGGAAACAGGTGGCAGGAAGGATGTGCGCTACAACATCCTATGCAGACGGGTTTTGCCAGATGGAAGGGGCCTGGAAGAATGCGGCCCCAACGTACGCTTTTTGCCACGTCGTGTCGGCCTGTCAAACACCTCTGTGATGGTGGCCGACCTGCAGTCACACACTAACTACAGCTTCCTGCTGGAGGCTGTCAACGGGGTGTCAGAGCTGGCCAAAGACCACGCGAAGCAGTATGTGTCACTTAATGTGACAACCAATCAGGCAGGTATGTTGCGCCAGATCTGTCACAACTGTCAATACTTGCCTTTTTTTGACAATCACAGTCTCCCACTGAGTTTTCCAGTAAACACCAAAATTGTCCCATTTTTTCCCCCAGTATTAAAACGTGTTCTGAATGTCCCAACCGATCTCATCACCATTTTGTCATGACTTTTTTATCTCCATTCTTATGGAGACTGCCAGAGGCCAACCTGTGTGTCGGATTCCTGGCATGAATATCTGGGTTTGAAAACAAAGACACCAGATGATGAAATTATCACACTATTTGTCCAGCAAGTCTGTCGATGTGTTAATTTTCCCTCGAGCACCATCCCTGTAGTGAATAAGAGAACATTGCACAGTGGCAAGCTTTTTTGTTTTTGCTTTTGCATCCAGATTTGTCATTTGTCAAAAAGAAGCTTGCCCCCCCCTCAATTAGGCAGTACATTTCATCAACAAGATTTGCAGGAATTGGTGGCATAATGAAAGCTCTTGATTTGCGGGCTGTATGGGGTCTTGTGTGGTAGCAGGTGTTAGCCTGCATGTCTATCATCAATGATGAATCAGGCTGGGAAGTACTATTATTGATCAACTCTGACCAAAAAAGAAAACTTCAGTTGGTATTCTGTTTTGCACTTGTAGCTGTTGGGCATATTTTATTATCTGCGATACCAGAGCAGCTTAGAAAATCTGTGTAACTATAAGTGTGAGTAAGGCACTAAACCAATAGCACAGTGGCCACACATAAAAGACTACTCTCATATTGGACGATGAAAGAATCCAACTGCTCCCCATAGCTGTAAATATTGTAAGTTTTGTTGGCTTTCCTTTTAACATGGAGATTAAAATTCATATCTGCATTGGGAACCCACTTTTATGTTTACGGGAGGAATGTGCATGTGTAGTTTATTTTATTTGTTTGTAATGAAATGGGTAGCACACAGCGTAATGAAATGAGAAAAAAATAGGATGTTAATACTCTCCTTCCCAAGGCTTCCATCTGTAGGGGAGTTTTGAAGGAGCATGTTTGTTCCTCTTTGTTGAACAGATGGTTCATTGGCAGCCAAGTAATAGTAGGAAGTAGTAGTAGTAGCACAGATGCTGTGTGTGTGTGTGTGTGTGTGTGTGTGTGTGTGTGTGTGTGTGTGTGAGAGAGAGAGAGAGAGAGAGGGCAAGCAAGAGAAGCAGACAGTTGTCTGACAGTCAAGAGAATTGACGACCCTCGAACTGTGTTGTCACTGTGGCTGTCGGCAGACTGAGTGGATTACACCAGACTACAGAACTCACATTCAGTTTATTGGAGTTGTAGCTGGATTAAAGTTAGCCAGTCACAGGACCAAATGGAGATTAGGGATTACATTAGATTACACATGGCTTGTGGAGTCACAGACAGATAAAATGTGCTGCTCTTTGGCATGGATGTGGCACAAGCGTTTTATTTCGATATTAGAAAATTTACACTCTTATATAATTAATCAAAACTTAATATTGGCTGCGCCTTTCAGACAGGTTAGTGCAGTAGAAGAAGTGAAGTCAGGCTAAAGGCATGTTTGAATTTGCCAATAGGAACTGTAATTCCAAAATCATGTACATTTTATTGGAGTTAATTTAAATGCATTAATAAGTACAGAAACATTTACAGGACAGTGAAATGGAAACATTGGAAGATTGACAGATTTTGAACAGCTGTAACAATAGCGATGTTTAGCTGGTCCAAATATCTAGAACACAGTTTGCAGAACATCTGTGCAAACATGTGTGCTCACATGCAGATGTTTTAAAGTTTAAAGTGTTCAGATCAACTATTTACCATCTACTATATTTTGCCAAGTAAATGCAGTAACTATAGTTTACTGCTAAGGAATTACAGCTGCATCACTATAAATCTCTTACTTTTAGTATTACTCATCAGTTCAGTTAACAATAGTTTTACATATAATTGTAAACTTTATATGAATATTAAAATAATGTGATCATATTTATTTATTAGCAGGTAATTGCACTGACTAGTCAGTTCACCAAACTATCCCATCAACACCATGTGTCCTTCTAGGTCAATGGTTCCCAACTTGGGAGGTCGGACCTCTCCAATGGTCAAAAGATAAGTGTGATAATCCACAGGACAAGAAAGGAGAATGGCAAGGCAATAATCATATTATTATTAACACTTTAACTTAACTCTGATCCTGCCTCACCTCTGTCTCACACATGTAATTACCCAATGAGGTCTTTGATCTGCGTTGTAAACGTCTGTGTGTTTGTGTTGTGTTTGTGTTGTGCTTGTGGGGGACTGTGTGTTTTGACCGGGCTTCTGCTTGTCAGGGTAAAAAGGCAAAAACAAGAAACCAAGACAAAAGTACAGGGATACGGGGGAGACGGTGAAGCAGGCAGGCAGACAGAAACTGAGAGAAAGAGTCAGAGGATCTGCCGTTTGATGTGTGGGAAGTGTCACACTCGATAAGGGATCCGTGAAATAGGTGATTTCACAGTGTCCCTGTGAAGCCCTGCTGAATAATAAAGTGTTGTTACTCATGAGGAGGAGAGGTGAAAGGCAGGAGGGGAGGAGGGAGGAGAAGGACAATAGGATGGAGGTAGAGGGGACACGCTGTGAAAGAGAAGGTGAGATTGGAAGAAGCTGTAAAGAAAAGGACAAAAAAACAGTAAGGGGAGAAAAGAGTAAAGAAGGAAAGAGTAAAAAAGGAGACAGTGGTCTGCTTGTACACGTTCATAAAACACTCAGAGGTCTGGTGCAGCTTAACAATTTTAAAAATGCAAGTCATATTTTCTACTACTTTGATGTTGCCTTTCACACCAATACATATTTTTGATAAGGTAGCTAGCTAGCAACCACTACGTTGTAGAAATTAATTCAAAATAAATCAGGAAACTGACTACAGAACTATCCCTGCAGCCCAACAGCATTTGAAAGAGCCTCTATTTTGTAAATGTATTTGAATGAAACTGTCAAGACGTGGGTGTCAGTAATCAATATACTGTTTATTCTACACAAAATTGTCGTTCATGAATCCAAATCAAAAAAACAAAGCTTTAAAACTGAATTGGCCATTAATTGTCAATAATCACAGAAAACCCAGTCTGTTGTTAGCTGAGCTTGATGATTATATACACATTAAATGAGTTTCTTTGGTAGCTCAGCTCTATTAAGTCTTTATTTCTGGCCATTCATTTTTCATGTTGTTCACAGTGTGGGAGCACTGCGTGGTAACTGCACACTAAATGCTCCCATATATTGTTTTTGCGGTTAATGGCTATTAATCACATGAATCGTGATACATTACCATGCTCTGCCCGTGTGTCTTACTTTTGTTTTATGCATAAATATAAAAGTAGTGGGGCTGCTGAAGTGTTTGCACTGAAACTAAAATGAATTGTACTTGGAGTAGGGGAGCATTAACTTTAACTAGTTTGCCGTCTCTTCCTTTATTTGGTGTTTGAATAGAAGGAAGTACCTAATAATACTAGTTGGTGAAAATAGCTTATATGTGACAGCTGCTGTTTTTAACATCTTCATAACCTGCTTTTACAGAGCTTTTAATAACACAAGCAAATCTGAAAAATAGTATGTAGGGTTTCTTTTCTTGTAAATTTGTGAGTTGTTTTTTTTCCTTGTATATTTACCACTTTAATCTCAGAGAATATGTACAGTTGTTTCTCAAATATTGCCATCTTCCCCCTTCCCCCTTCATTTTTGTCCCTAATAAGCTGTCGTAATTGGACCCATGAATGTATTATTATTAAAAGTATTTTGAATGTTGTTTACCCCATAGATAACCAGGTTTATAACAACATCATGCAAAATGTTATGCTGGATTTTGCTTTTACATTGATGGTGGTTATCACACAATCTTGCACATTTATATGTATGTTCTGTGGAAAAAGGGTTGATACCAAAAATTATTGAAAAGTTGGATAGTGCTAATTTGTATTTTAGGTCTAATTGGTGAATCTACATCCAAACGAAAAGAAACAAACACTTTTAGTGATTCAGATTAACATTTGGTCACCGTGTGTTCATTTTGAGTCTCCAAATGTCCCTTTACAAAATCTGCCTGGACCTTTTCATGGAAAAATTGTCATATTTTGTGCCATCTTCCTCAATTTTAACTCTAACTTTAAGTTCATTTTAACTTGAATCGAATTCAACCTCTGTTGAAGTACATAATGCCTTTTGTTACTTAACACACATCTAACATCTTTTACTTTTCACTTTGTAAGAAGATTGCCCTTCGCTTGTTAGAGTTGTTTAGAATTCTGTAAAATGTATTTGGATGACTTCTGTGCCTTTTTATTAGTCAGACAACTGTAGAGAGATGACAGAAAATAAGGGAAGAGAGATGGGGAATAACATACAGCAATGTTCCCGAACCAAGCTGGATACGAGCTGGGAACGCCAGTTCTTTTAATATTCTTTCTGCTCCAACTTTGAAGAATTCCTGAGTGACAGAAATGTATGTATTTCACCTGACAGGAATTTAATACATTGTATGACACATCAGGTCCAGGCTGCTAAATGACTGTCACTGTTACAATTGTATGAAAAAATTGAGCAGCATGAGATAGAGATAGAGCAGGTAGGCGGCAGATTAATTTGCAAACAAAAAAGATGAGCGTTGGTACTTTACAACCTTAAGAAAGCCATCTCTTCTCTCTGTCTCGTACTTCTCTTTTCCTCTGGATCTCTCTCTTCTGTCATTCTCTGAGGCTAGTTAAAGGATAATAACACCAGATAGTTGAAGGTCTATATCGATTCTGGTGATGTTTCAGACAGATAGCGGTCTAAGAGGCTTATGTTCTGCACGGTGATAACGTTGCTTCTATCTGAGGCCAGAGTGGTTACACTGGAGGGCTGCACTTGTCCACTGAATAGCTTTGACAGCCTTTTCTAACCTGTCTTCATGAGATCACAGCTTCAGATCGATGGAAAAACAGAAAATAGCATCACAGGGGTAAATTGGAGTTTATGTTCATTTGTGTTCTGCCTTACTGTACTGTGGGCGCTCATTAGCAGATGTAACACGCACTGGAAGTGTTTAAACCAAGAAGTATGATTCCACTGTCTTCCCTGTTGCTAAAATGAAAGTGTTGCTGGGGCCCTGTCTACACTATGTCACCATGTCTCCACCTCTTTGTCGCTCTCTCATATTTTATCTCTCACTTTTTTCCATCCTTGTCAACCGACTCGCATGTCTTCTATCCCCTCCTCCTCTTTAGCACCCCTTCCCTCCTTCCATCACCTCCCAGTCTCTCTCTGCAGTGGCATTTTTTAGTTATGTCAGACTTGTTTGTTAAGTCACAGTCGCTGAGTCGTGCCACTAAAAGGTGTCACATTGTGCCAAAAGGACTGTTAACTAAAATGTTGCTTTGGGTGTTATATATGGATTTTGTGCGCGCGTCTGTGCCGTATGGTATTTGGTGTAAAGGGAAGGTTTGAGCTGAGCACGAACAGGAACATTATCTGAGGAAAGGAAGCTTCAAACTTGCACATATTGTAAACTGTAATGAACTAAAAGAATAGGCATGGGTTGCTGGAATAGTTTTACAGTTTTAATTGGTGATGTGGATAAGTTAATTAGTCAGTCAACCAATCAAAGCAATTCTGTATGTGATCTTTATCACTGTAAAGGGATTATATCTGGGCTTTAGTCTATGCATCTGACAAAACAAGCCATCATGTTAGGCTCTGGGCATTTGTAATGATGTTTTTTGCACTATTTTCTGACATTTTATTTACTGGTTAAACAAGTTTATTTATATATCCCAAAATCCCAAGTTTGTACACCAGTGAGCTTTTAGATCTGCACACCCCTGTATGGCACCCTCTATTCAAAACGCTTGATTAAATATAGCATGGCAAACTGCATCCATTTTGGGGATTTAAACTTAGGTTTTGGTGTATTGTTACCCGTTAAGCTGCTGGGAAAAGAAGCCCTCTCTCTCATCATCGCATCCCAGCATTTATACCATTTAAGCATTGAGTGTGTGTGATTCAGTTTCTGGTTTCAGGCTTTTAAGATGTTGCAGATAACACTTCTGTGCGACCATCCACTCAGGATACAGTTTCTGTGTTTGTAGCGATGATTTATTCCCCGTGGAGTTCTGCTGAGGCTATTGAAACCTAAACGGTGTTTAGCATTTGCAGTAGAAGCACACACACACACACACACATACACTATCAGGATGTTGCCTAAGGGAGCATTTTGCCTGTTGAAAAGCTCTTTACGTGTCAGAGACTCTCCAACTGTCCCTTTGAGAGATGGGCCAACAGTTCACGTTACAACAGAATGGCTCGATGATTGATGCAAAACTCACACTCACTTCGGAACTTAGAGAATAAATCACATAACAAACTATAGTGGAAATGGAAACTTTGCAAAGAACCAAAAACAACATGAGCAACCAAAGGAAGTTTTCTGCTCTCATAATATTGCAATTTGAAGGGGGAAAGTTAAAAGGAATGCGGGTTGTTCTTCCAGGTTTTAATATGTGTAACCATACTACAGTAATTAAGAGAGTTCAAAAATAACTATGTACTAAATAAGTAAAATTTTTGTATCACTTGTAGACGTTCACGTTGTCACTACATTGGAACTGTTATAACTTGTGTGTGGTGTCCTTTTGCAGACTGCCAAACTTGGTACACCAAACGCTATTTGCCAGATGTGTAGAGTCAGAGTTGACTTCATGGGCTCCTCTGCCAACATCTACTGAATAGCAAGATATAAAGGGATAGTTTAATTAGTCACAGGTGCACCTCGTTGCCAGATTGCAAATGGGTTTTTTTTTCAGAAGCAGAGCTTGCTTTGGAACCAGAAATAATCTCGGCAGTTGAGTTAAAGCTCAATGGACTGCGCCAAATAACCTCAGGGTAACTAACAAACTTGAATTCCAAAGAAGAATCTCTTTTTCTTTACCAGCATGATGGAAATAACACACCAGCAAAGGAAGATGTACTCTGTGTAAATTCTAACATGGAAATCCCCCTCTTTTCACCACCATGTTTGAAATCATGTTTGGCCTTTTTTGTGATCTCTGTGTCTTTGATGTTTCATCTTCAGTTTAATATTTCATAACATACAATAATCGCAGCAAGCATTACAATTAGCTCTGTGCATGTAAACAACAAAGGATGAGGTGTCATCAAAAGATGACTGCTTTATAGATGTTGATGGTTACCCAATGGATTTTTACAACTTTGGCACTATTTCTCTTGTGTTCAGTCACTGTCAGGATGTTATGTCAGTCATGTTAAATACCGCAATTAAAGGGATGCACTATGTTAAACTGCTGGATTTGTACTGCTCGATAAAATGAATCTGCTTAAAATTGTACAATGTCTTTACGGGGTGCGTGTGCGTGTGCGTGTGTGTGTGTGTGTGTGTGTGTGTGTGTGCGCGCGGACTCGCAGCACCCTCCCCAGTGAGTGTGGTGAGAAAAGGTCACACAGGGAAGAGCAGCATCAGCCTTTCTTGGGCAGAGCCTGACCGCCCTAACGGCATCATCCTGGAGTATGAGATCAAGTATTTTGAAAAGGTAAAAAAAAATTATGAATTGTCCTTATTTTTGCTTCTTATACATGAAAGCTGCGTGTCTCTGTCCACTGGCCTTGGCTGACTGTGGCTTCTGAGTACCTTTCTGGAACTCTTATAAAGATGTTTGTCACAGAGGTATTGATTTTTGCATGCACTTTTATGCATATTGGATATACAGTGTCCAGATTATAAGATTATGATTGGTCTCATGGGAATCTGTGTTAATTACCACATAGCGTTAAACCAAATCTTTTATTTTAAGGTCTGTTGTAAAGTTGACACTTATTGTCAACATTTTTTTTTTCATGTGGAGTGTATTTAGTCAATGTTCACCCAAATGCAAAATAATCATATACAAATGTTACAAAATTGGTGTGCTTGTATTTTGTTGTGCTCCATATATTTAATGTGTTACCTTTGCAGAAGGCCAGCGTAGTTCAAACTGGCATTCAGCAATACAGCTGAATAAACATTCAGTTTACATTTAAATAATTTTGTTTCTTTTTTTTTTTTACTGGTGGCCATTTTGATCAGGTCCTCTTGGAAAACCTTTACCTCAAAAAGACTCTTTCATGTGACCGCGCTCTCGCTCTGTGGTTTTTATTTTATTTTTTTTTTAAGTTGGACTTTGGTAGAGACAGCTATTGGATGCTTCTATTCAGATCATTGTTCCTGTGCCCTTCCTCTTTTCTCTCTTTCATCCTCTGATGTCTTCTTTTCTGGGAAGGTCAGAATAAAGCTATACAGGAGAGCAGAGCAGGGTTTGTGGTCAGTGGTTAGCTAATGGCTTCTGGCTAATGGAGGGGGCATTTAGCTTTGTTTAAACCTGATGTGGTTACAGTTGGGGAAACTGATCCTCACACACATGCACTTACACACACTCCCACCCACACACATACTACAGGTAGCTAAGCCAAAAAATGTGTGTAGAAGAATAGGGAAAAGGGTGCAGGCAAGAAGACGTACATGTACGGAATCTGGCAGGATAATTACTGGAACAGCAAATCATGGCTATGAAAATGTATGTAAGGCACATGAATTATTTACAATTTTGTATTTTTCTTCTACAGGAGCAGGACTCCAGTTACACTATTATAAAATCCAAGGAGACTGAGATGGTGGTGGAAGGCCTGAAGCCCTCTTCAGCCTACATCTTCCAGGTCAAACATGGGTTCAAAAAATCTAAATTATCATTGATAAATAATGTGAGGACAAAAAGAAAATTAAAGCAGAATAAAATATGTTGGAATGGCAAAAGGCACTTTAGTGTAGTCTGAGATGAGAAGAGTTGAATAAGCAATTACAAAGAAGTTATTGGATCAAAGTAATTCATATGAATATATATGAAAATATAATGTGATATATTTGCATGTGATGCATTACAGGTGAGAGCCAGGACCTCAGCAGGCTATGGCGCATTTAGCCGACGTTTTGAATTCCAGACCAGCCCTTACTGTGAGTACAGAGAGAGCGCATGACAGTGCAATAAATGTTCAACTTGTAGGTGACTCACACCTGCATGAAAAACAGATGCCAGGTGTGTTTGTGTATGTGTGTGTCTAATCCCACCTCTTTTGCTCATCAGTAACTGCTACCAGTGAGCGTGCTCAGGCTTCGATAGTAGCTGTGGCCATCACATTGGCTTTGGTCCTACTGGCTGTAGTCGCTGGATTCCTGCTCAGTGGACGGTAAAACAGAAATACACACCTTAAGAAACATGAGCACAACCAGGAAAGCATGTATATATTGCTCCTGTGGATGGGATATATGCATATTAACACATAATGTTATGTGGCATTGTACGTGTTGTGTATGATGTGTTTAGGGTGTCATTAAATGAAATACATCAGTATTCAGTAACAGAACTGGTAGAACACGTACTGTATAAAGGTAGGATGAGCAATCACATGTCTCGACATGAGTGTATGATGTGAATTTATGGAAGAGTTTGTAGTGACACCTCTTATCCTCTCATCTTTTGGAGTAAGAGATGGTATGGGATGATGACTTGACTGACATTACTCACCTTAAGGGAATAATGAAAAGTGCATTTCACAAAAAGGACATTCGGACATAATTTGTTTAGAAACCGTTCTATCCATGAAATTCTTGAACAAGAGGTTGCTTAGATTTTATTTTAAGGTCAGTTATTATTGTTTTGGAAATCACAGCATTCATGTACATCTCTGTATATGCGGATGTATGTTAGCTTAGCCAGAGGCCATCCCCATGTCCTCTTCTGACCCATTGCTGAGTAACAGACCCCGATATGTCTGTGTTGCTGAGCAGCATTATGGGATTAGATGCATGGCTTGAGGTTAGAGTTTTTGAATAGGTCAGTATTAAGGGTTGCTTTTTAGGATATAGCTTTAGAGGCTGATGCCAGTGGATTCTCCTCAAGGGTAGTGACACAACTTTCCTCTGTTACACGTACAAGTATTTAGCACTCCATACACAATATACTACGTTAATGTTGTGTCTGCGTGCCTCCGTGCTCATGTGACCTTCATTCAACCTTGTCTTATAATTGCTACAACCAATTTTCTGATATCATTTTCACATATACTCACACATACAACATGCACCAAAGCAAATTCTGTATCTAGCAACAGCATATAGTTGAGTGGACGTTAAGCCTCTTATTCTATATGATTTTATGTCCATAAAAGTCCCTGAAACTATTTTATTTGTCTGTAAAAGTTCCTTCCTTAACCACATTTCCCTGTGAGATGTATCTAATTAAGTTAATTACCCACTTTATATATCCAAACCCCTTCACTGCCCCATAATTAAAAAAAGCTGATGGCAGTTTTCCAAAACTCAAAAGTGTGAATTCAGATTCTAATGGTCTGTTCATCCACCCATCTCTCTATTCATGCATTTGTATTATTGATCTTTCTTCCTATCTATCCATGGATTCTTTTTTCATCCATGCACTCATTTTGCAACATAGTGTAGTTATTTGACAGACTGATCAGATGAATGAACAGTGGGAGCAGTGGTGTTTTCAAAGATTAAAAAGCAAATCAGAAAGACACAGCGAGGATTTTGGTTTAGCCGAACAGGGATGAGGATCGCTCGGGTTTATTGTGGGGGAGGAGAGATGGAGGAATGCCAAAATTTTCCAGAGATGGATTTAGGACACAAGCACCACAACCCCCTCTAACCACTGTATCCCCACCTCCCCTTCCCTGCTCCTGCGTGACCCTCCAGAGTACGCACACATGCACACAGACATCCAAACACCACACATATGCACTGATGCATGTATGCATGGGTTAACACACAAACTCAGACGCACAAATGCAGGAAGTTGGAGGGCAGGCTGGGCATTGAGCATTTTCAAACCCCTTGACTCAACAGATCCGGCAAACTAAACACCCTCAGGCAGACACACATGTACAAAACACACACACGCACAAGACTCCCCTCCCCCAGACTATCCAGCTGCCCATACCAAACGCCTCCAGCCAAGCCTGGCTGTTCTACAGAGAACCATGATGGGAAAGACTTGTGTTGTGTGTGTGTTGTCTGTGTTTTCATGCACTTTGGCTTTTTGTCTTCAAGAACGAAAAATTTGGAAAATTCCACTCAAAACAGTTTGTTCACACTTGGTTTTACAAATGCAGTAAAGTAAATGAATGCATTTACCTCACAAATATACTTATTTGAGTGTGTCTCTTTGCCCATTTGATCAATGTCATGTGTTTGCTTTTGTGTCTCTGTGTTTGCATATAGGATCAAATTTTAAAATCAATCTTCCCATTTAATCTGGGTTATCTGTGATCTCTGATTATCTCTGATGTGTCCTGTCTAAATGTTGACACACACACACACACACACACACACACACACACACACACACACACACACATACACAGTCACATCAAAACGCACTGCTCTCTCCTCTCCCAAATGTCAAAAGTCAGAGTTGATCTATTGGCAAGGGCTTTCATGGAAAATTATAATATTTGAAAACTGCAGACCTTTGCTAACGTCTTAAAGGCTGGTAGTTTTCAGCAATATTTTTTAAAAAGCTTGAAATGTACGTTAGCAGATCCTATGAGGAAATAAAATGTTTATCTTGCCCACTGCTGGCCAGGATAGATTTGTTTGGGCCATGTTGTGGTACCTTTTACTGTGGTCTCATCAGTTACTCTTTTTTTCCTAGTGTAAATGACGCTGTTTGCTCTTTGTTTAGATACACGGTACATAAAAGGAATGAGCACCTACAGTATTTTGTGCTACCTTGTATTAGAAATTGGAAATGTATCTAAATGATGCTACTGTAAATATACTATCTGAATATGAACTGCAGATATATTTACATTTAGTAACAAAGATGCCAGAACCACTTGTTCCCTTGTTTTTAGCAGTGCTTATTAAATTAATTGAGTTATTTTCCATGAGATATTCCCATTGTTTAGTCTACCCCCTGTAAATCATCAGTACAGTGTAAATGTAAAGTTTTCTGTAATACCAAAAATATGCTTGTCAGTGCTTTCACATAATACTGTGGCATGACAGATTCTGATGTTGTCTCCTCCCTCTCAGGCGGTGTGGCTACAGCAAAGCAAAGCAGGATCCTGAAGAGGAGAAGATGCACTTTCACAACGGTCACAGTAAGTTAAAATAGCACAAACTCATTCTTTGTATACCGTGTGTGTGTTTTTTTGGGGGGGGGGGGTAAAGTTCATCCAAAGTTTACACTACATGTACAGAAGAGGGTTCAGACAGCGGTCACGTCTGTATGAGTTTGTTCATCACACGCAAGAGTGTGTGTGTGTATGTGTGTGTGTTACTTTTACCAGTACAGCTGACAGTGTTTTGTACTCTGAGCTATTCTTTGAATGACAAACCAGCTCCATGGCAGCTATCCTGGCAGAGGACACACAAAGCTATGATGATTTATAGGCTGTGACAACTTAATATATTTGGCTACATTTTTGGCATTGGATCCTGCTATCCATCTGTTGGCATCAGAGCCGACCGTGACGGGTACATCAGCTCCGTAGAAGTCAAGAGAAAATACCACGGTGCCAGTATCTGTGGTTTACTGTCAAATTGATTCATAACGTGAAAGAAAATAAAATGAGTGTTAATTACGTATCATGCCCACAAAAGGTTCCCTAGATGCAGTATTAGTAAGTAGTTTTGGTAAGTAATCTCAGTCAAAGTGATGTTTTAAAATGTCGAATAATCATAAAGGACCATGGAGCATGTACTAAATCACATCTCCACAACACTATTAAAAGCCAGAAATGAGCTTGATTAGTGGTAGGAAATATGTATTTATATCAAAATATTAAACATTTTGAAAGTTGACATGAGAAACCAAGCTATTACTTAACGTTAATGGAAAAAGCTGATGTAATCAATATTGCCATAAGTAATCCTGCTCCTTGATTTGCAACGTTGCCTGCAATGGCCTCAAACAACCAGAAATGTTGAAGGGAAGGCTACATTGTTGACAAGTTTCCATTGTCTCAGTAGATAAAATACCACGTCATATTGGCCGACTGAATATTAATGCTGACAGCATGATTAAATGATGCATTGTTATGTATGCATGCATTGTATTGTGGATACAAGCCTGAATACATGTTAATAACAGTAAATTACATCTAAATGGTAATGATGCCATGCATATGTGTCTACAGTAAAGTTCCCGGGGGTGCGTACCTACATTGACCCCCTCACCTATGAAGATCCCAACCAGGCAGTGCATGAATTTGCTCAGGAGATTGACGTCTCATTCATCTCCATAGAGAGGATCATTGGAGCCGGTGAGTCAACTCAGAGTGAGTGAGTGTGTGTGTGGGTGTGTGTCTGTGTGTTACAGAGCAGATTCCGACAGAATAATGTGTTACAGAATAATGTGTTACAGAATACATTATTGTTGTTGTTGTTCATTCTGAAGTGAACCTGTAGCATGCACCGGTAAAATACTCTAACCTCATGAAGGAGATTAATTTCAAATAATACTGTATTTAAATACACTCTATGTACAGTCGTAACAGTAATGAGTTTAGCCTAATTTTGTCATGTTGTATAGAATTTAACAATTTTCTCACTATCTCTATAATAGTGCGCCATATTTTGTTCAGCCTGCGTAAACCTGTCACATTCATAATTGGGCACCATTATTTGGACACACATTTACACACAGTCAATTACTCTAAACACTGGGCTAGAAAATGACAGTTCACACAGCTATAAATGGTGTTTGTTCTCTGCTGACAAACATGTTGATTTGCAACAATTGTAAGTCTCACGAGGTTTCTGGCTGTGCAGCAGTGAAATGGGCTTTTCAGTATAACACTGTGGTTTCTAGGTTCTTATCTGTTGTGATAATGAGCAATGAGTTGAGGGATGCTCGTCCAGTATTTATACAGGAGTCAAACATTTGGTTGGATGGATTGGTAGAGGTGTTGAATAATAGAAATGTGTCCTCTAGGAAATATTTGAAGTAGTCAAAATCAGTATCACCTTCTAATATAATAGAATATGTGCTTGTGTGTGTTTGTGTTGTTCTATTGGAGTTCTTTGGAGTAATAAGTAGTTGCACCTAAATATTTCTTTTGGGGGGGGGTTCTCCTTCTCCATAGCTTTACTTTTACATCCAAAAGTAGGTTAGGTTTGTTGTCTTGAAATGTATACCTGGGTTTAAATAAAGTAATTAATCAAGACAACAACACAACAGTATAAAGTGAACTTTTTGTATTTAGGTCACTATTAAAGGTTGGTTTCACCACTGAACAACTGCAGCTAAAGGTGGGCTGAAATGTTGAGGCCACAGTTAAACTCTTTCTCTTTGCCTCAGGGGAATTTGGAGAGGTGTGCAGCGGACCGCTGAGGCTGCCCGGGAAAAGAGAAATCCAGGTTGCCATTAAAACCTTGAAAGCAGGTTACACAGAGCAGCAGAGACGCGACTTCCTGTGGGAGGCGTCAATCATGGGCCAGTTTAACCATCCAAACATCATCCATCTGGAGGGCGTGGTCACAAAGAGTGAGTCATCACTTCATCAGTCATTTATCCAGCTCAGCTGTATGTTTTTCTGACTCGTACCATTGATTTCATTAAGTAGAACAGTAATAACAAAATTAAATGAAATTTTTCAGAAAACTCCAATATTGGCAATTTGAACAGCTGATGTGCCTGAAAAGCATCAAGTCAGTCAGGTTAATTATTTAAGGCTAAATTCTACTGTAATGCTGTTTTTGTCATGGACCATATTTTACAGCCACATACAGCATTACTCTAACTCATTAGCTCGCCTATGTACCCCATAAATATTACATCTTAATTTTCATATTCATATGTTATTATACAAGTGTTAAACAAGTCATATATTTAGAACAAAATAATCAAAAGATATTACACTCCAAACATAGCATTTATTTAAACATGGGAACTGTTAACTATCTCAATATGGGTACTAGAAAATTAAAGCTGAGAAAGTACAGCTGCTGCTGCTTATGTACAGTGTAGTCTGAGAGACATTGAGCTAACTATTGACATAGCAGTACAGTTTAAACAGATGAAAACAGGACTTAGTCTGACAAAGTAGACCTTAGCCTGACAATATGAGACCTGGGAAGTCCATCAAAGAATATCTTTCTGATTTGCCTGTGATATATATGAAAAACACTATTTTTTGCTAGTCAGTGTTGTGTTACAGATTTTGTAATATTCTATGTGTTTGTTTAAAATTTATATGTGAAGGATGGCTCAACATCTTTTCCTTCTCTCAATATTTGTTTTTAATGTTTGTTTTAATATTTATGTTTTTGTTGTTATGTTCTCATATTTTGCTTTACAGGCAAACCAGTGATGATCATCACTGAATACATGGAGAATGGATCACTGGACACATTCCTCAAGGTAGGAAGAGGAGGGTAAGAGACGGGTCAGGGGGAATCTACGGAGACAGTGGATAAAGTTGAGAAGGATAATGGGGACTGAAAAGATGAAGGAGGATGTAATAGAAGAATCAATCAAAAGCAATTGTTTAAGCAGCATATTTGCAGTGTATTACAATGATATGGAGTCAGCTCTCAGACATAGATTAATGTTGGACTGTACTGAAGTACTGATGTACTGGCAATCGGGCAGGGGTTCAGAGTCATCACTTGCTGATATGCCAAATTGGAAGGACAATTATCATAGAGGTGGAAAAACATTTAATCGTCTGGAAAAGGAAAGTACATTTGAGAGCTGTTTATAATGGGGATACATCACTGTGGGCAAAGAGGATCAGGTGGGATGAAATGAGAATATATCCACCAAAGCTATCATCATTCCAATTCAATACCTCATCATTCTACACGTTCAAGCAGAAGTTAACAAGAGAAGAAGATGTGATGGTTACACTAACGTCTTTCAAGTGGATAGCAAAGTTATAGGTTGGTGTGGTTATTATTTCTCAACAAATAAAAAATAAAAAATTTGGGAGAGCAACAAGAAATAAAACTGAATAATCAAACTTCTGAGCCTGTCTACATGGTACAAATATTAAACCTATACTCTGCTTATTTTGAAATGTTTACTAGCCCCGACTGTGGGACAGATTACTATGCCAGAAAATATGAAAGTCATCTGGCCACTCTGGGATGGAATCATGTCTGCACTGTCTAGACAATTTGGACTTACTGAGTGGACAAAGTAAACTATAATGAAGAGGCAGGCCTGCCAATTTCTGAATTAAGTGATCCCTCTCCAATGCACTTCAGTCTCTTTACTGCTTACAATGGCAAGATGCTCAGTTGGTGGGCAAGGCTAAATCCTGCATGACAAAAGGGTAAACTCCTGTAGCAGATGGCTAATAGAGAGATGAAATAAGGTCATACAATTGCAAGATGGTGAAGAACAGCAATTACGGAAATTTGGAAAGGTGAGGATAATGTGGGGCCACTTGGAGGTGTAGGTGTGCTTGAAAGGTCAGACTGGAAAAGACCTTTAACTGAACAAAATGGGAGGATGCTGTGAGACAAAAGACTGAGGACGGGTGTCAGAGATGTGCTACGGGGCTGTGGTCACTGGAAACTGCTGACGTGACTGTCCTGTGTGCCTTGGGGAGTAATCCTGGATGGGGGGAAAAAGGGGAGGCAGAGGAGCTGGGGGACCAGCAGGCGGAGCAGCACAGAAAAACCTGTGAAGTAATTACATGGATGGCTGGTGTACTGAGGCCGGTATAAATGACACGGCCATGGGAGAACGAGGGGCTTGACTGGCTCCTGGATTAAGTGTCACAGCAATGGACAATACACTATAAGGCTCATAACTCACGTACTTGGCTCAACATGTTCTTTCACATGTATGTACAATGTTCTGCTGTAGATGGATAGTTTACATTTGGATTGGAAGGAGCTTAAACTAACAGTGAGAGCTGTGTGGGAGAAAACTTAAGAGGAACTTTACAGAAAGGGTTTTCCACCGCAGGGAAAGAGCATTGTTACGGTAGTATAATTTACTGTTTTTGTCAATATTTTATGAAGTTTAAAACCTTCAGCCAAATTTTCCTTCTCTGTGGTAGCTGTTTATATACTACACTACACTCCAATTTTGGCACCAATTCTGGGAGGTTAATATTATGTTTTTATAAATTGACTGACTGTGTTGCCTATTTATTTATTTTCCTTTATTTGCATATTGACTTGTTTGTGAGTGATGTGACTGGAATTAAAGGGGAACCACAGTTTTTACACATCAAAGTCTGCGTTCTGGTGTTGGGGAGTACTAATGTGAAAAAAGCTGTATAAAGCCTTTGCGTCTCCAGAGGGAGCCGTGGGAAGTTTGATAAATTGCCTCTCAAGTGATGTCACTTGAGTCAGCATCAGTTGGGGCTGAAGACTACAAGCCTAAAAAAGAAAAATATCTGGGGGTGTGGAGTTGTAGCCTGATCCTCATCTCATTAGCCGCTACTAGCATAACACACCCAGATCTCTGACCAAACTGTCAGTTGAGTTGCACTGTGGGCAATGTAGGCACCTGGTTTTGACAAAGAAGAATGTGTGGAATAAAAAAAACTTAAGCTATCTGCTGCATTAATTTTAAGTTCCCACAAGAGAAGGTGTGGTGTCCGAACGATAATGCTGCGATGATGTGTTGAGAAGAAATCCGCTTGACACTGTTCTTGATCATAAACGTTTATTACATCAAGGAATTCAGCATCAATTACAAGCTCTGCAGCAGCTTGGAGAGTGACCCAGCCCGATAACCACTCTGTCTCTCTGTACATCGAACACAGCTTATATAAGACATGTTTAGGTCTCTGCTAAATACCATATAAGGGCACAGTGCTGTAGACTAAGTGTAACCATCTGTTAGACACCACTTCCCCTACCACTGTGTCTCTCTCCAGCTCTGGGTCAGGGGTCAAATTCTTATAGGAGGGTTCACTGTCCCCATAAGGGTTCACTGTCCCCAGCTACAGAGCATTATGTTAAACTGTAATGGTCAAATGCACATATGTTATACACCACATATTCCCCCCTACGAGACTTAATTGAGTCTCGAAAAACAAAAAGAGATAAATTTCTCCAACACATACTTCTTGCATATTATTTTTAACAACATATCAACTTTATGGAGTGTGAGAACGAAAAACCCGTCCTGCAGCCATATTCCAAATTCCCTCCAAGACAATCTAGACAGGAAAATTTTCTCACGGCCCCTCTGCCTTAGGCGGCCACGCATGGTACTCCAGTCCAATTAATAAACGACATCTTTATCAGTCAATGCAGAAATATGGTTTAGCCAATACATGTGAAAACCTCAGGAAATTAAACAAATCAAAACAATGTCCGAATTCAGGCTGGTCAACCCATCGGACCCTCCAACGGACCTTTCCCTGCCTAGACCCTATATCCCTAAGCATCAAGAAAAAGAAAAAACCTGAGGTCCCCAAATATTAACTCCCTAAGTGAAAGTACAAGTCTTTACACAGTTAACACAAAAAGAATATGATTGTTAATTAAGTATTATTCATTCACATATGTATTCATATCTATATCAAAGTAGACACAGGAAGGTATTCCACTGCAGCTCCTCAGCAGTGTCGATGCAATCCAGACGTTTCCACACCGTCCTTGTCCAGAGTCCATTCATACTGTCCTTGTTTGAGTATTTGAATCCCCATCTGTACATCCCCATATACTCTGGAAGAAAAGAAAACACCAACCAGTATCTTGTTGCAAATAACACATGAAAATTAAAACCTCAATGTATGAAAATACAAAGTAACATTAAAATGGATATCTTTCCATCATTACTTCATCTGGTTCCCCTTCATCATCTCCATCTAAATCAGCCGTAGTTAACAAAGGCATCTGAGTGTTCTCCCCAGGCATTATCACTCCAACCCATCTCAATATCATAGCTTTCGCAAAAGTCAATAGCACCGTACAAAAGCAAAACATCAAACACAGCGCTACAAAGGCTGCTACCAAAATCTGAACCACCACTGCTCCCACTGGTCCTAACTGATTTTGTAGCCAAGTATTTGCTGACCATCCAGCTCCCTCAGATTGACCAAACGCATCCCTTATACTCTTTAATGCATCTATAACACTAGTGATATTATCAGAACTATCTGGGATCAAAGTATAACAACCGTCTCCCGTCAAGTTCATAGCCACACACAAACCTCCTTGTTTGGCTAAAATATAGTCAAGAGCCATGTCATGTTTCAACAATGTCAGTCTGTGACTTCTTTGAGTATTTGACAGAAGATTAAACCCTCGTATAGTTTCATTTGCAAAACCCCATTAATTTTTTCACACACCCCTGACTTTGTGGGTGATAAACTGCTCCAAGACGTTGTTTGATTCCCAATTTTTGCAAATCAATTTCACTGTTTTATCCACAAACTCTTTCCCATTATCTGATGATATTCGATCTGGAAGTCCCCACCTGCTTATGACCTCTCTACACAAAAACTTGGCAACCGATTGAGCGTCTTTCCGCTTGGTTGGACAGGCCTCCGGCCATCGTGAAAATCTATCCACAACCACTAGCATGTATCTTTTCCCTTCAACTGGTTTTATCATATCGACAAAGTCAACAACTAACTCACGCATAGGACCCCTTGGGGTGGGAATGTCATACCCCTGCGGACATTATTTTTCAGACAGATTGTACACCTGCCTATGACATAATCAATCTGTTCAAGCAAATATGGTGCCCAAAAACCATACTCCTTTGTGATTTTTCTCCTAACCTCCCCCCTGGCAACATGAGCTAACCCATGTGCTTCCTGAATCATCAAACCTAACAGGTCCAGAGGTGCTACTATCAGTCCCTCATGATTTCTCCAAAGACCCGTAGAATCCTTAACAGCACCTCGGTCTAGCCACAACTGTTTATCAATCATAGAAGCAGCTTCCTGCATCAAAATCACTTCCTTAAGCGTAATTCTGTCTTCCAAGTCCACCCCATGAGTGACCAGAAAAACCTTGCCCAATTTGTCAGCTCCTGTGACAGCTTTTGCAGCTTCATCAGCAGCTTTGTTCCCTTGTGTCACTCTTGACGCATCTGTTTTATGAGCTGCACACTTAGCTATCGCTATCTCTTTAGGCCTCATCATAGCATGCAACAGTTTTATTATTTGTGCGTGATGTTGTATCGGAGAACCATCCGTTCTCTTAAACCCCCGACCTTTCCACACTGCTCCAAACAAATGACATACATTATGTGCATATGCCGAATCAGTATATATTGTCACTCGCTGCCCGTCAGCTAACAAACACTCTTCTGTTAGCCCCACAAGTTCTGCCAGCTGTGCAGACGCAGGCTGTGGTATTACTTCAGCTTTTTCAACAACAAATCCCGTTCCTTGAGCTTTTACTACTGCATAGCCAGCACACAATTTCTCCCACACGATA